GAGAGGGGCTGCAGAGAGGAGGGGCTGAGCCTTTTCCCCCCAGTAGCAAGTGACAGGACGAGAGGAAATGGCTGCAAATTGTGCAGGGGGGGAGGTTCAAGCTGGACATTGGCGAGAAGTTCTTCCCTGAAAGGGTCCCTGGGCATTGGAACAGGCTGCCCACGGCCGGGGTGGAATCCCTAGCCCTGGAGGGATTTAGACAACATGTGGCTGTGGTGCTCAGGGACACGGGTCAGTGGTGACCAGGCAGTGCTGGGTTAGTGGTTGGACTCGATGATCATAAAGGTCTTTTCCCACCCAAGGGACTCTGTGATTCTGTGGCCCGAAGGAGCCAGGGGTGTCCCTGAGAGCCTGGCATCAGTAACGGGCCCTGACCTGGCCCTGCCCGGGCTTTCCTGTAGCCCCTGGGGCGAGAGGCCAGCAAAGCTTCAGGGACACTGGTTGTGACATGTCCAGAGCAGGGTAGCTGGAGGCACCGGGGCAGCCATCAGCTCGAAGTCTGTCCTGTAACACTACCTAAAAATACCTGGCTTTGTTGGAATGGGCACTCGAATCAGCTGTTTTCTGACTTGGAGGAGATCCTGGTAGGAAACGTGTTCTTTCAGCAGATGTCACCTAGAGGAGAAACTGCCTGTAGCCTTTTTGTCTCGTGTGACAGAATGAGATCTGCTGAAGGGTTTTAGTAACGTGCCTTTGACTCTCCTGCTTCCCCAGGCTGGCATTCAGAGAGAAATAAAGATGCGGTTGAAGCCATTTGCCTATCCGTTGCCTGAAACAAGGTTCCTTCATGCAGGCAGGCTGGTGTACAAATTCAGAATCCGATATGGCAACTTCAACAGGTAAGCATGTGAAAGCTGGAAAGTGAACCTGCAGTTTCATGACAGAACTAATGTGAAAGCCCAAATTCAGGCCATGAAAATTCCCTGGCCATGAAAGCAGCCGCTCAAAAGCTGCTGCTGTGCTTGCACGCACTGAGCATTGGCCTGAGAGAGCAATTGGAGCTGTAAGAAACGCTTCTGTTTCACTGCAACTTGGGGATTTTGAGCTCCAGTGGGAGAAGAAGCTGGGTTTAGTAACAGCACTTTGAAATTGTGTAAGCGTTTAACTAGAGCCTTTGTAGTGGTTTAGCCTCCGCTGTCAGCCCCACACAGCCACTCACTCACTGCCCCATGGTGGGGTAGAGAAGAGCATCAGAAGGGTAAAAGTAAGAAAATTTGTTAATTGAGATAAAGGCAGTTTAGTAAGTAAAGCAAAAGCCATGCATGCAAGCAAAGCCAAATAAGTTTCTCCCTGCATCCCGCCAGCGGGCAGGGCTTTAACCTCCGGGAAAGCAGGACTGCAGCCCGCATAACAAGTGACTTTGGGAAGACAAATGTGCTGACGCCAAGTGTGCTCCCTCCCTCCTTCTTGCCCTGCTTTTGTTGCTGAGCGTGATGTCCTGTGGTCTGAAATAGCCCCTGGGTCAGTCCTCAACACACATCCTTATTTCTCAGGCTCCCCACTGTTAGCAGTGTGCCTTTTGCTGGCCTTGTACCCTAGCACTCGAGCCTGGGTGTGGGAAGAGTCTCTTGAAGCTCTCACTGGCTGCTGGCAGGAGACATTTGTTGTAGTCTTGGGGTTTGTCTCCCAAGGTTCCCTTTCCACCTCTATTTCAGATGTGGATGTGTCCTGGTTTGAGCTAAAAACTCCAATTCTGTTTAGTGATTTTTACTTTCCAGTCTACTCTCTTCTATAAGGCTGCACTTTCTGAAGTTAGCAGCGTGTTTTTGCAGACAGTGTGTGCTACTGGCAGTGATAACACCTGATGTTTACAGTTACTGCCTGGGACTGGTATGCAGAAAGGCTCTGGCTGATACTTATTCGTACAGTGACCAAGGCCGCTGCTGGCTCTTGTGTGCCACGCTGGGGGTGCCAGGTAGTAAGAGGGGTCACAAGGAAGTGAAAGGTTGCACCTCCGGGGAGTAACAGACAGGACAGGTGACCCTTGAGAGTATTCCATCCCATATACGTCATATTTAGTATAAATTGAGTGATCACAAGAGTTTCGTCCCTCTTTCTGCAATGGCCGGTGTCCAGAGAGGACTCCATCTGACCTCCTGCTTTTGATCCGGATCCTGGATCCTGGATCCAGCTCCTGTATCCAACTCCCCACCGCTGAGCCTGGGGCTTCCCCAGTGCTGTCTGCTCTGCATCATCAGTGGGGATTGTTATCAGGAGACAGAGTAAGGTTCAATATCAGGCTTATATATAGTTGTATATAGTTCTTTATTTTTATCATTTCACTATTATTTCCATTATTATTTCATTAAAGCTGTTCCAGTTTTTCTTCTTTAACCTGTAAGTCTCTCTGACTCATTCCCTTTTCCTTCCCGTTTTTGTGGGGGAAAGAGGGGGTTAGAGAGTGTCTGTCGGTGTTTAATGGCCGGCCCAGCCCTAACCCATGACAGGATGTGAGAAACTTGGCCTGTTGTTTTGAAACAAGTGCCTGCCTCTCCTGCTGGCAGAGGGACTGAGCAGGACTTCTGAGACGGCTGCTCCTCTCCGTTTCTAGAAGGTGCTGTAGTGACAAGCCTGAGAAACGGGAGTGAAGGGAGAGTAGTTTAGCCCATGGTACCACTGGCGTGCAAGGAAGAGAAAGGAAAACAGCCTTTGTGTGTGCAGGGGACAACTAAGAGGAGTGTTGTGGGAGGCAGCAGCTCTGTGGAAAGCCTCAAATAGGAAGTTGCATAGGCAACGAAGTGACTAAAGCACAGAGTGTTGAGTGGTCTAGGCAGATGGGGAAGGTGTAAAACAAGTGAAGAGGATGATCTTTTAGAGGTGTAAAAGACAGACTTGCCCTGAGGGTTTTCTCCTGGAGGAATTGCTTGTGCTGGCTGCTCAGGCACACAGAGATGCTGGGCAAGTGTGGCTCCCGCTGTGGCATGCAATGTGATCCCTTCTGTTAGCTTGTTCTGTATTGAGCAAGGAGAGAGCCTTTCTGAAGAGGAGTATAAGTTCTCATCTCTGACCAAGTTCTGGCTGGGGCCCCTGGATGTGAAGGATACGCCAGGGGCTGCCTCCCAGAGCACATACCGGCGAATACTTGTGAGCTGTAATCCCTCACACTCCACTTTGGTCTTTCCCAGTGACCTTGGTTTGTTTACTTTTCAATGGGTCGGGATTTTCTTTAAGACTTTCTCTTTCCGTGTGCGTTTGCTTGTTGGCCAGCACCTAGCAGCAAACAGCTTCTGAGAAGCTGCCTCACAAGAGCTGTGCTTAGTGCTTGGGCACACAGCTCAGCACAGCAGCATGTGGCTTCCGGCATCACGGGGCCCAACTCAAGCGCTGCGCAGGTCCCTTCCTCTGCAGATTTGCACCGCAGAGAGGATTGAGAGATGCGTCCTGCCTATTCCTTCTTTTTAGTCCCTGGAGCAGAGTGGCATTGCGATGGGCTGGGAGACAGAGGTGCTGGTTTGGGGGCCATCTGTCAAAACAGGGATCCTAAACGTTACTGAGGATGGACTTAGAAGGTCTGATCTCCTGTCCATTGTGTCCCTGGATACATGAGATACAAACGGACAGAAAATTCACACAAAGTAGTCCTTGTGGAATAAAGGATGTACTTTAAGAATGACAAATGAGGAATTCCTTTGCCTGCTAAGTGTTTTCTGTGTGCAGTGGGAATGGTGTTCTGTTGCTGTTTCAGATCTTGCCGCGACTGTCGCTCCATTGCTCTTGGCCTGGGATGGTACTCACTCTCTCTCCACTTGTTTCACAGTGCTCCGGATCTCGACCGCACTGACAGTGCTGCCAAGGAGTTAGAGGTAGGAGATGAAGCAACTCCTCGGGACCTCAGCTGAGTGTTAGACTGAGCAAATATTTTTTCCTTGTGGGACTGAGGACGTTTTGCCAAGTGCAGCATTTCAAGGGCAAATAATGGGGAACTTCACTACTAGGATCCTACATAGCACATGCTTGCCTCTTTTCATGGTGCCAGTGCTTTGTGGCCAAGCTTGGTCACAGCTGGTGAGTTCTGATGAGGAAACGAAACAAATATATTGCCCGCTGAAAACTGTTCCTGCTACTTAGTGTTAAAAAAGTCTTCCGAGTACAGTAATAACATTATAGATGTTGTTGAAGGAAATGTGCTGATTTTAATGGATATGGAAAATTATTATTGTTGTTATTATTGTTATTATTTTTTTCCACTTCTGAAAATATTGAAAGGTACAACTAGAAAGAGTTTCCTGTTTGTAAATCAGGAGTTTGTTGGGGCTGTATTACTGTTCCTTTGTAACTCAATTGAGTCAATATTCAGAAAAAGAGACGTGTATTTATTTTTGATACTGGCCAATACTACGTGTGTTTTGCAGAAAAAAAAGGGGTCTTCTTAAATGTAAAAGTTCTCACATTTGAAAATGCACTTGCCCTCTCTGTAGTAATGCTTCTCTGTTAATTCAAGATTAAGATACTAATTCACCTCGGTTTCGATGAGTCTGCTAGTGCAGCACGCGCTGAGGTGGTGGGAGAGAGCTGCCTTTCGTGCTTCATGCAAACTGTAAAGTAATGCTAATTTTTCCCCAGGCTATCCTTGACACTGGAATTGTGACTGTTGTTAATATTCTTCCTTCCTTTCTTTTTTTTGGCCTCTTCAGGAAGCAATTCGAGTAATCCTTGGAAATCTAGATGACTTACACCCGTTTTCTACAGACCATTTCACTGTCTTTCCCTGTATCCTTTCCCTCCTACTTGTAAAAGAAAAGGTTCAATGACTTGTGTCTGTTGGGCACTGTGTAGGCTGACGTTCATGTCTCATGGTGTGGGTCATTAGCCTGCAGTACAACTCTTGTGAGCTTTACAGTTTTAGGTTAGCTGAAGATTCTCCTCAGGTGTTACCTTCACCAGAGAGAGAGCTGATGTGGAAGTTCTTGGGTGGACACCCCTGTGTTCCACATCAGGTTTAGCTGGAGAAAATGAACATGTAGATGTATGTAAAGGAAGCCAACCTAGTGCACTTGCAAGTGAAGTGAGTATGTTGCTTCATGTCAATAAAATGTAAAACGCTCCTTACAGGCTCGGCAACGCTGGCCCACTAGTAGAGAAGACCACAGTCATTTTCTTGTAAGGTGCATGAGGTTTAAATCACATCCTTGAGCCTCTGGGGATGGATTGTACCTGCAAAGCCATCTTCAGTCTGTACAGGAATAAATTTGAGCTTGAACTTTTGAGGGAGCACAATAGTGTTACCATGAAATGTTACCTGGAAGGATGTGGAGAATAAAAGCAGTTTCTTGGGCAGGAGCAACTGTGAGCATATGCTTCCTCCCTCATGTAGATAGCTCCTTCCCCAGAGAGAAGCAAGAAGCACCTCACAGAGTTGAGTTTTACGAGGAGAAGAAGTTGAGCTGAGATAGCTGGAAGAGTAGACAGGCTTTTGAACACACAAAGCCTGCAGGATTTTTATCTGGTTATCCTGGCCTTTTCTTCAATTTAGCCTTTGAAGTCTGGAAATGCAGTGAAGCCCGTGTCCTCTACCCGGTACTCACCTTGTTTTGCTCATCCCCCTTGCTCCTGTGGGACCAGTCACCAGAGTTTTTCCTTCTTCCCTAAAATTCACAGGGACGTTTAGCTGCTGTCTAAAGACAGCGCTGGAAAAGCCTTGTGCCCCTGCACGGCATGGGCCCATAGGAGCTAATATGGAAATCCTGGCACGCACAGGTTTTGTTGCATTTAGTTTCCTGCAGATTTTGCTTTTGGATTGTAAGTGCTGAGGCATGTGAGATTGGATTATTCTGGCCAGCAAGCTTTACCACAAACTCCTCCGCCTTCTAGACTTTTTTCATCAGAGCGCATCAAGGGCCCAGCTAACCTTATTCCCTTTCTTCTTGCTTGTGCAGGTGGGCAGAACTTGGCTGTTTCTGCTGCGGACTCTGCAGCTCACTAATTTAGCCTGACAATAATGGAATTAAAGAAATGGTAAATGCTAACTAGTGTTTCTATTGTTGCTGCAGTGTAAAGGGTTAAGAAGTTACTCTACTGTTGAGGGGAGAAGTTAGCTGAAGGACAGGCCTTTTCAATCCCAAGGCTGTCAATTTGTGGATCAGGTCAGGCAGGGCCCTAGCATAACCTCCTGTGATTCTCAGTGCCCAGGAGCCGTTGATGCCCACATGTTTTCACCCGAAAGGCGTTCCCTTCCAGTCTCAGAAGACTCCTCATAGCAGGCAACTCCTAAAGGCAGCTCTGGAGCCTGCAACACGAGAAGGACATGGACCTGTTGGAGCAGATCCAGAGGGGGCTGTAAAGATGATGAAAGGGCTGGAGCACCTCTCCTAGGAAGACAGACTGTGAGAGTTGGGGCTGTTCAGCCTGGAGAAGAGAAGGCTCCGGGGAGACCTCACAGCAGCGGGGGCGCCCTCACGGCAGCCTGCCAGTGCCTGAAGGCACTTCAGGGAGACTGGGGAGGGGCTGCTTACAAGGGCATGTGGTGACAGGATGAGGGGCAGTGGTTTTAAACTAGGGCAGGGCAGATTTAGATTAGACATTAGGAAGAAGCCCTTCACCACAAGGATAGTGAGATGTTGGCACAGGTTGCCCAGAGAGGTGCTGGGGGTCCCATCCCTGGAGGCATTCCAGGCCAGGATGTTAGTTTCTGCTAGCAAATGAACTCAAAGTACTTATTTTCCCTGTTGCTTCCTGAGGTCAGAGGCGCGCGAGGATGCTGCTGTTCAGTGTTGGTCATTCTTGCTTGTGTGGGCTCCTCGGTGTGGGAGCTGCATCCACGTGAAGAGTGTGCCTCTGGCAGTTGTCACATCAATTCTCTTTTTTCCTCCCCTTTTGAACTGTGAAGTAAATGTCATGATGCTACTCCTAGGAACCCTAGCCCTCTGCAATTTTTAAACTAATCTGTTTCTAAAAATACTTTTTAGTTGGGAAGACTGATGAGCTTTTATTCATGTGGTTGGAAGAGCCTGGCGTGTGGGTTTTTTTGTGGGGATGTCAGAACTGAAACAGTTAAGGAGACAAGTGACTGCTGGGCGGGTATTGCCTGGAGGAGGGTTTCTTGTGATGTGTTACTAGTACTTTTCCACAAAGTTCATGCTGACAAGTTGTATTTGCTCCCTCATGCACAAGTGCAGTGTGGTGTGACTTTTGAAGCTTTACAGGAAGACCTTGTCAGGACTCGTGCTCCTTTAAAATGTTCATACTGTGTTCTTGAGTCTTATCCTTGTTCTCAGATTTTTTTTTGAAAGAGTATCAAGGATGAGATTCCACCACGAGAATGTGCTTCTTGTGCCTTATCCCTATGTTTGCACTATGTATCTGGAACTGAACTCATTCCAGCAAAACGTATCTTTTGGTAAGTCCCTGCAGTTGTGTTTGGATCATTTCTGGAAACATCAGTGATGCATGTCATGCTTTTCCCTTTCCCTTTATCTGTCGTGTCTTTAAATTAGAGGAAGCAAAACCGAGTGCAGTGTGGCTGTGCCGTGGATCTGAAACAGAGCAGAGCAGTGGGTTCTCTTGTGTCCTGTGTGGCTTTTCTAAAATCTCCCGCATTTCTTTTTTTCGAAGCACTGCTGGTGTTTTTCTGAAGCAATGCCCAGTGGCTCCCAAGACTCATTCTTTAATGTCTGTAGCTAGACTGGAGCCAGCACACATGTATGGAATGCATGTTTTCCTTCCATCTGCTTGACTGCATTGGTTGACATTGAACTTCACACTCTTGGACTCTTCTTTCCTAAAGAAATAATGCATTTTTTTTCCTTCCCTTAAGTAATGATGGCGGTAATGTCTTTTGTATAATTAACAAATGCCCCCTTCTTAGTGTCTCATTCTCCAGGTTTTCTGTGAATTCCCTCAACAGTCTCAGGCTCCGGCTGAAATCTCCGTGAGACTCTACAGTTAAGCTCCTCTGCTGTGAAAACCAAGTTTATTCTGACTGTTCCCCGTCTGATCACTGGTGCTGTTTTTTCCTACAACTGTTTAGTAGATAATCTGGTCTCCTTTATAAAGTGGACAATTAGTCATTTCTTAGTTTCACGATCCATTTGCTTGTGTGTAGCATCCCGTATCAAACATGCCACGTTTGCACGTAAAAACTTCTAAATGTGGCGAATTCTCTCCCTTCCCTGTGTACTTGGCTCCGGTATTTAATCGCCCTCCCCAAGTAGTTGCACAGTTTATCTATTCCTAAATTATGCGCAGCGTAACATGCTGTTCCTTTCAGGCACGGCTGTTTCAAGTTCCCGTTGGCAGGGATTTTTCTTCAGGAAGGCGTGAGTGGATCCAGCTGGCTGGTATTCTCCATAGGCCATGTATGCTCCAGGCATCTTCCATCTGGTGTCTGAAACAGGGTGATGCTAACAGCTCTTCAGGCCCTTCTTCTCTTCTGAAGACTCCTTCAGCTGCTTCAAGAAAAGCAGTTGTCTCCGTTCCATTGACATGTGCTATTCATAGACAGGAATTCCAGTTCTGAAGGAGCTGTACTTGCAGATTTTTCAATTTCAACATATCCGATGCAAGTCCAGTGCTGTTTCTCAGTGGTTTGTTGTGTTCTCAGCAAGAGAGGTTAGAGAAAGTCCAGTCTAAATACTCACCAAATTTTATAATACCTCTGTTACAGGTAAAGAAGTAAACCAGGAAAGCGATGAGCTTGTAAGTTGTGCATGTGTTTACATTTTGTTTTCTTTCATTTAATTTATGTTCTAAATAGCCTGGAGAAGCAGAATATATGTATATATTTGCAATGCTACAGTTCTCCTGTTTCTAGGTGTTGGTCAGGCAATGTAGTGTGGCACTGAATTCTCACCCAGAACCATCCAAGTTGAGAGAAATCTTCGTGTCAGGTCCAGCAGATTTTCCGTGAAGTCCTGCCTCGGGACTGGCGAGCCCTGCTGGCTTCAGGAAGATGTGTTTTCCACAAGTCTGAGCTGAGCCGTCCAGTGGTTTCCCCACTGTGAGACTCTGGATGTGGTTGATATTGCTGAAAAATTAAGTAATTTCGTAGGTTCTATACGTGTCATAAGCAACAAAGTTCAGCTTCTCTGGGAAGTTGTTTAATGAGAGCTCAGGCTGGGTTTGTTTGCCATACGGGAAAGTGTCTGAAGATCGAGTGAAGATGTCCCTGGAAGAAGGTTTTCTATCTCTACTAGCACTATTCCTGAAAAGTTGTATTTTTGGTGTAAAACTGTTGACCGTGATTCTCTGGCTGGCATCTCAGTGCTCACCTTCTGTTTGACTAAGGAAGCTAATCTTTTCTTCCAGAATCATTGCTTTTGGTTTTCTTTGTATAAACATGAACAGTTTTGCAAAACTCTGAGTTTTGTTCTTAAGTAGAGAAGTTAAATTTTACCAATACCAAGTTTGCAATGTTTTGAAGGTCAAGAGAAGAAACGAAGCGTCAGAAAGTGCTGCAGTGGAACAACCAGTGAAGAGGAGAAGAGTGGAAGTCGAAGCAGAGACCTCATGCCCGCAGTCGGGTGTGGACAGGTCAGTTGACTACAGAATAGTCTTCCAGGGCACACATTGCTATTTTGAATGTCTCTTGTACCTTCCTTATATTTTATTCCTGCACAGTCCTTTGCCCCATTTTTCTTCCTTCCGTAGCAGCATTGCGTATATTTGGAGAAAGTTTCCACGTGTGTTCTGGGTCCCATGCCGTTAACTGTCGGTTGTGTTCCATGATCTGTAGAATCACAGCGAGGTGAGAACTCATCAACTAGGCAAAGCAGTGCGTTGGCTGGCATGCCTGAGCCCAGATTGACAAGGGAAGAGCCAGGAACAGTTTTCTCCCTGCCTCCTGGCCTGTTCCCCCGAGTCAGCTGATGAATGCTGCCTCTCAGCTTCAGACTGATGGCAAAAAACGTTTGTAGATAAGAAGTTCTTGCTTGTGTTTGGGTTTGATTTCGTGTTTTGCAGTTCATGCCTTTTGCCTCTTGCCCTGCCAGAGGGCGCTGCTGAGGAGAGCCCGGCTCCCTCTTCCTCATTCCTTCCTATCGAATGCACATTGTTAAGTTCCCCCTGAGCCTTCTCTAGCCTGAGCAGTCCCACCTCTCAAAGCCTCTCCACATACAAAAAGTGCTCCAGTCCCTTCATCATCTCTGTGGCCCTTTGCTGGGCTCACCCCAAAGAGTCCCCGTCTTGTCCTGGGGAGCCCAGTCTGGACACAGAGCAGCTTCAGCAGTCCTGAGCAGAGAGAAAGGCTCACCTCCCTCTAGCTGTGGGCAAGAATTCTTCCTAAAGCAGCTCAGGCTGTTCCTGGCTGCTGCCAGCAGGAGGGCCCAGGGCTGGCTCGTGATGGCTTAGTTCTTGCTCACCTGTCAGAGGCAGGGCCGTTATTAGTTAGAGTCCAGCAGCCTTATTTCTTTCGTGGAGAGTAGCTTTTAAAAAAAGAGAATTTATGCCTGTGCTTGATATTCACGAGTACGAGTTCTAGATCCAGCACTGTGATCAGAAGTGTTTGTGCTCACCTTTCCCCTTCCATGGCGATGCAAAGACTGTGTCCAGTTGTCTCTCTACCCGGTTCCCAAGAGTATTTGAGGCAGGGATTAGAACAGAAGTCTGAAGCCAGTTCTTCTGCTGCTCATACAGATGTTATCCTTTCATTGCCTTCTGCCCCCATCTCAGCTTCTTTTCACAATAAAGCTGCTGGAAATGCGTGAAGAATGAGACTGGGATCCAGAATGCTTTTTGATCTCTTTTAGGCAACACTGAGTTGTAGATTGATCAAATACAAGGCCAGAAAGGGCTATTTCGTGACCCTGGCAGTTCTCTCTTAGTCTTGTATCTTGCCCCAGCAGTTAAGATTAAAACAGTTAATAACTGCAAAGTATGTTCTTAATTTCAAAATTAAATTAGTGAGACACCAATCTCAAGCCCTCTGTCCTTTTTTCCCCCAGTTACTCTGCTAGACTGAAGAACTCATTCAGCATAAGCATTTTCCCCACCAGGAAGGAGTTTGTCTGCAGTTGTCAGACCACCTCTTGGTCATTCTTCCTTTTTGGAGAAGCTCTTTTGCTCATAATTCCTCATGGGGTTTGGGTTTTCTTGGGGTGCTATTGAATGCTGAGCTTTTAGAATCTCGAGGTATCACTCCCCAGTGATGCTGATCAGCTCAAAGAGCACTGTTTTGTGTGTGAAGCCAGGACTGTTTTTCCACACCTGCATCCCTTTGTAATTTTCTGTGCAGAGTTTCTTCTGCCTTTTCATTGCGCCATGACTGAGTCTTGTAAGATCTTTCTATAGAATAGAATCATGGAATGTGTTGGGTTGGAAGGGACTTTAGGGGTCATCTAGTCTGACCCCCCTGCAGGGACATCTTCAACTAGATCAGGTTGCTCAGAGCCTCATCAAGCCTGGCCTGGAATGCCTCCAGGGATGGAGCCTCCAGCACCGCTCTGGGCAGCCTGGTCCAGTGTTCTACCGCTCTCATTGTAAAAAATTTCTTCCTTCTATCTAGCCTGAATCTACCCTGTTTTAGTGTAAAGCCATCACCCCTTGTCCCGTCATAACAGGCCTTGCTAAAAAGATTGCCCCCATCTTTCTTACTGGTTCCCTGTAAGTACTGTCAGGCTGTTAGAAGGCCTCCCTGGAGCTTTCTCTTCTCCAGCCTGAATAGCCCCAGCTCTCTCAGCCTGTCCTCGGAGCAGAGGTGCTCCTTTGGCCACCTGTGCATCCCTCCTCTGTACCTGCTTCATCAGTCCCGTGTCCTTCTTTGTGCTGAGTGCCCCAGGGCTGGATGCAGGACTCCAGGCAGGGCCTCACCAGAGCAGAGCAGAGGGGCAGAATGCCCTCCCTCGCCCTGCTGGCCACGCTGCTTTGGATGCAGCCCAGGATGCAGTCGGCCATCTGGGCTGTGAACGTGTATCATTGGCTCATGTCCAGCTTTTTGTCCACCAGCACCCTTACATCCTTTTCCTTAGGGCTGCACCCTGTCCCATCTTGCCCAGCCTGCACTGATAATGAGGATTGCCCCGACTCAGGGGCAGGACCTTGCACTTGGCCTTGCTGAGCATCATGAGGTTCACACTGTTGCAGTTTTCAAAGGGAAGGTAGCAAAAATGATAGAACTTATCTACACGTAGATAAGCAGGCACTTCTTTAATTGCAGTGCTGGGAAGCTTGGAAATCACCCAATGCTTCAGATATATCACAAAAATTCAGCCTATTTATACACTTTTTATACGAAATTATGATCTTTAACATATTTTAACATAAACATGCACACAATGCCTGCTATTAATTTTGATCTTTATAATGATTGGTTCAGCCTCTGGATTAATTTTGACCTTTATAATGATTGGTTCAGCTTCTATTAATATTAATATATCTTATTTCCATACAATTGTTGGTCGTTTT